AAACAGCCATCCCTTCATCATTTGATATTATCAATTGTGTTTCAAATCTGATAGATACAGAGCAGAATGCTGAACTGATAAAGCAACCAACCAAAGAGGAGGTCAAAGTGGCAGTGTTTGGACTCAATGGAGACAGTACAGGTGGACCGATAGTATGACAGGCAGGTTTTATCAATCTTGCTGGGACATAGTAGGGGATGATCTTTTTGACATGGTGAGGGCATTTTTTAATGGTCATGATCTCCCTAAATGTGTGACACACACCAATATTGTTCTGTTACCAAAGAAAAAGGAGGTCACTACTTTCTCAGATCTGCAACCCATAAGCCTCAGTAACTTTTCCAACGTGGTGGTTTCAAGGGTGATACATGAAAGGTTAGTGAGATTTCTTCCTAATCTGATATCTGAGGAACAAGCTGGCTTTGTTAAGGGCAGGAGCATAGTAGAAAATCTATTACTGACTCAGGAGATTGTGACTGATATGAGGCTTAGAACCAAAGCAGGACCTAATGTTATTATGAAGCTAGACATGACAAAAGCATGTGATCGACTATCCTGGTTATTTTTGACCAAGGTACTAAGAAGAATGGGTTTTTCAGAAAGGTTCATAGGCATGGTGTTTGGAATAGTGTCAAACAACTGGTATTCCATTTTAATAAATGGCCAAGCTCATGGTTTTATCAAGTCTTCTAGGGGAGTAAAATAAGGGGATCCTGTCTCTCCAACTCTATTTATCTTAGCAGCTAAAGCACTATCAAGAGGTCTCAATGCTCTACATAAGAACCTATACTTTTGTGGATATGGGATGCCAAAGTGGAGCCCAAAAATTAATCATCTTGCATATGCAGATGATATGATTATATTTTCATCTTCTGATGAAACATCTTTGCTGCTGATTATGGAAGTGCTTAGTGCTTATGAAGCTGCATCTGGGCAGCTTGTAAACAAAAACAAATTTGTTGTATATTTGCATCACTTATCAGACCTTGAAGCGATTAGCAAGGTGGAGAGGATCACGGGGATTAACAGACAAGAATTCCCTATCATATACCTAGGCTGCCCTATATTCTATGCAAGGAGAAAGCTGGAATATTATCAGCCCATGATCACCAAGATAATGGACAGACTACAATCATGGAAGGGTAAGCTTTTGTCTATAGGTAGTAGAGTTGTTCTTATTGCACATGTACTACAGAGTATGCCTATACACCTCTTGTCAGCTGTCAACCCTCCAAACTATGTAATAAATAGGCTGCATAAAATATTTGCCCAGTTCTTTTGGAGCAGCTCTATAGGAGGAACCAGAAGGCATTGGGCATCTTGGAACACACTATGCATGCCAGTTGAGGAAGGAGGAATAGGATTTAGGTCCCTACATGATGTATCTAAAGCATTATTCAGCAAGCTCTGGTGGAACTACAGAACAAAGCCAAGCCTTTAGAGCTCTTTCATGAGTCAAAAATATTGCAAAAAAATGAATTCTGTAATTGTTCCATGGAGGAAAGGGTCACACATATGGAGAAAAATGTTGGAGTGTAGAGATCTGATTGAACATCAAATAATTTGGCAACCAAAAATGGGATCGTCACTATTTTGGTTTGATAACTGGACAGGACTCGGGGCATTGTACTTCTTAGTTCCTCAGGAGTTTGGCATTGATGAATCTGTACATAATGTCTATGATGTCATTGAAGATGGAGGATGGGATGTGGACAGGCTATATGAATTGCTACCTGAAGAATATGCAGTACATATAATAGAAAAGATAAAGCCACCTTCATCACAAGATATACTTGACACACCTTATTGGATGCTGGAACCTCGAGGTTATTTTAGTGTTAAAACAGCATGGGATTATCTGAGAAGAAGAGATGAACCAAGAGCAGCTTACAGGATGATATGGGTAAAAGGTTTGCCTTTCAAAATTTCCTTTTTTATGTGGAAGGTGTGGAAAGCAAAGCTACCATTGGATGACTTTATGAGAAGGCTTGGATACTTTATGCCATCTAAATGTTGGTGCTGTGTACAGCCTAAGGAAGAATCTCTGCAGCATTTATTCTTCAGATCTGAAACAACCAGGGCAGTATGGTATTTTTTTTTATCGAGGGCAGGAATAGCTGTGAAAGGATTATCAATGCACCAAGCTATCACAAAATGCTGGACTGCTAATGTGTGCCCAAGGTTAAAACCAATAATGCAAGCACTTCCCTCTTGCATAGTCTGGGAACTGTGGAAAAGAAGAAACAGCATGAAGTATGGAGATGCAGTGTCAACTAGCAGGGTGATCTACCAAGTGTCAACAACTCTTCAAGCATTGGTAAAGGTAAGAAAGCCAGGTATCAAATTGGTTCCTCACAAGTGGCACGATCTGTTAAAATGATGGAGAATTACACCCCTACACTTAAGGTGAACAAAGTCATGTGGGAATTCCCAAGTGCAGGATGGCCAAAAGTCAATACAGATGGGGCTTCGAGGGGAAATCCTGGCAGAAGCTCAATAGGATATTGTGTAAGGGATGAGAAAGGTGACATAGTATGGGCAGTAGGGAAGGAAATTGAAGAAACAACAAACACAGTAGCTAAAGCTAAAGCTATGGTAGAGGCACTGAGGTTCTGCAGAACGCAACAATACTCTCATATATGGCTTCAAACTGATTCAATGCTCTTGAAAAAGATCATGGATGGGTTGTGGAAGCCACCATGGATCATTGATAAACAGGGGGAGGAAATTAGGCAGCTAATGAATGGGGGTAATTACACAGTCTCACACATTTATAGGTAAGGTAATAAGTTGGCAGATCATCTTGCCAATTATGCCTTAGACCATGGTGATATTGAATGTCAACAATTTTGGCAAATGGATATACAAGGGAGGAGGATCATAAATGAAGATAAGATGCAATGTCTAAGTTTAAGAGTGAAGGTGGCCAGGAGCTAAGAAGTCAGGAGAAAGGGAGGAGCAGGGTGCAGGAGATGTCAGTCGATCAATATATCCAAATCCTAAGGGAGAAGGATATGTTAATAAATTTTTATCTAACACTGTGTTCTTTTTTTCAGGTGTTCATAATATATTCTTGCACCTTGCTTGGATGGAATTACATATGGTGGTATTAGTGCTAAGCACTCAATCCATAGGAAGACCATTAAAGCAAGGCAAGGATATAGTGGCAAGGAAAGGAAATATGTTAGGCAAGACAGTCAGGTCTGCAGAAATCAGTAAAAGTCACAATGCCAATACACAAGATGTAAGGGAGTGCAAGACATACAAGGAAGATAGGGAAGGAAATAAAAGGGAGCATATTTACAAGGCTGGAAAGGTAAAAATAAAAGCAAATCTGCCCAGAATGTCTAAGAGAAATAGGCAGAATAGCTCAAAAGATTCAGGAGAATGGATTGTGATTCCATGGGATATAGGGAGCCAGGCAAGAATTTGGATCATAATTATTTCAAAGTAGGGGAAAAGTGAGTATAAGAGGAGTTGGGAGAGAGAGGCAGATAGAGGGAGCTCATCATATATGGAAAAAGTAGCAGGCTTGCTCAGAATGTCTAAGAGAAATGGACAACATGAGAATGAATGGTTAGGAATAGTTGAGGAAGAGGGAGTAGGTCCAAAAGAGCAACAAGCAAAACAACATGTAAGGTGGGCTAAACAGGAAGGAAAAAGAAAGATGGCAAGATGGTGTAGGATTAAGGAGAGTGCATCAGATTGTTTTGTACACATTTGGGAGGAGTACAAAATGATCAAGTTTTTCACTAACCTTGTTCTCTTTTTTGCAGGAGACGTTACCGTATTCATGCCTTGTCACAAGTTTCGACTTCAATGGGTGGTATTAGTACAATGTACTCATTCCCTTGAAGAAGGAATTGTGACATGCATAAGCATGAAAAATTACTACTGGGAAACACTATGGTCCAGCTTGAAAAAACACTGGCATTGGCAGCTATATTTGGGAAGCATCAACCTATATTGGATCATAACTGTGGTGCAGACATTTTCAATAGCAAATGAGGAAACAAGCACGACTGGAGTCTCAATAAAATTCAAAGGGACATCACAGGATTTGGGACGCAAAATATTAATAGCTGGAAGAAGTTTGATCATAACATGGTTCACTTGGCAATGATATTCGTGCATGAATGACAAAGAGTGGAGCATCTCGAAGGAATGGCAACACAATAGAATACACAAGGAAGTTCTTCAAGCAAGGGTCTCAAGAGGTAAGCAATGGAAGACCACCAAAAATCGAAGCAAAGTTGGTGCAAATACAATGAATAGAGGATATTTCTGGGAAGTGGTTCGTATTAAAAGCAGGTGCAGACATAAGCAATGGCACATCGGAAATGGAATGACAGTATTCAGAACATTACAAATGAAAGGAAAAGGATCAAAAGTCAGCAGCAAATGGACAAACAAGATACTACATAAGGAAATGGACTGCTATTGCAATATAAGGATCTGGGCAGCATTTGATATAGAAAGTGGTTATGGAAGCAAGAAGCGTGATACACAAAAGAATTGGGCCTTGTGGGACTGGAAAGAAAATGTGGAAATGATCATCTTTGGGCTAGTTTTTATGTATGCAATTTTTAATAGAGATAATGTGATATCAATGTTGAGTACACTACTCAATATTGGTAATAGGTTTAATGTAATTTTCAAATTTTATTCGTTTCATCTCGTAAGACCTCCTGACAAACTATGTTGTTTATTTTTTCTTATATAAATAAAAACCAACCCTAGGCACATCGCCTAATGGATTGATAAAAAAAAAATATGTATCTTGCTCAAACAAATCATATCATACTTTGATATGATTAATATTGTTTAATGGAGTAATAGAGTATTAAGCCTGGTAAATTAGAATGGATGGAGCAACCCACTTACGCGCCCAGGCAAACCTAAAAAACAAAGGAAAAAGAAAAGAAAACGCTGTTCTTTCAACACGAAGTGACCGAAAATACTTTGCACTACCAGGATTTAGGGTTTAAGCTTCTGCTTGATTAGATGTCCGGATTTCGAAACAATGGTGTTATGCATCTCCTCTACATTTATCGCTTCAGATTTCATGCATTTTACTCAACAGCTGCGGCAGCTCGTCACACCAAGCACTTGGTGGAGACACTGGTGAACTCACTTGGGTTCTCTACAGAAGAAGCCATTTCTACAAGCACAAAGGTAAGTCGCTTGAGACCAGAAAATATAAGCCTCTTTTAGTCTTTAATTTCTTCGAAAAATCTGGTTTAGATAAAACCCACATCAAAAAACTTGTTTCTTCAGTCCCTGCATTGATGCTATGTGATGTAAATAAACACCTTAAACCCAAAATTGAAGTACTTCAAGAACTTGGCTTTTCAGGGTCGGATCTTGTCCAAATTATTTCCAACAGTGGGAAATTCTTCACCACAAGGGTAGACTGTTATACAAGAGCAAATGTTGATTATCTTCGGAAACTATTGGGTAATGATGACTCTGTAGTTAAAATCATTAAGAGAAATCATATGGTGCTTACTTATGCTCTTCATGAAGTAATGCCACCCAATATATCGTTCCTGCAAAATATTGGGTTATCATGTATGGATATAGAGAAGCTTATGTTTTGGAATCCTGGGCTTTTAGTTCAAAAAACTGAGTGGCTCGAAGACATAGTGAGTCGAGTAGAAAAAAAATATCACATTTATCGGGGTTGCCCCATGTTTCTCTATGGAATTTATGCACTTGCATCTCTCAAAGAATCGACTTTGGAAAAGAAATTTGGAATTTTCAGGAGTTTTGGGTGGTCTGATTCGGACATTTTTACATTGGTTCAAAAACACCCTGCCTGTTTCAGCCAATCAGAAGACAAGCTCAAAAATGCGTTAAGTTTTTTTATGAAGGAACTCGGATATGAATCTAATTACCTGGTTTCTCACCCCGCGTTTTTGACTTATAGCTTGGAGAAAAGGATTATGCTTAGACATAACATTTTGAAGCTAGTCAATCAGAAGGAGCTAACAAAGTGTAGTCGGAGCTTCTATACCGTTGTGCTATGGTCTGAGTTGAAGTTCTTAGAGAGCTATGTGCTGCCTTTTAAGGATGAGATACCTGAGGTGTATGATTTATACGTCAAATGCAGAAGCTAATGGAGCATCTTTAGTTTTGTGAGTTTTACCAACTTTATTGATGTGTTGTTCCTTTTATGTTTTACTGTTTGGTTCATATTTCATTGCTAATTAGGCAATTTATCTTTTTGAAGTCAAAAGATGATGTTCTTTGATTTCAAAATGAACAAAGAGACTATAAATGTTTATGTTTCTATAAAGTGGAGCATTTTTTTTATGACATGGCTTTCTCAGTCAGAATAAGATATTCTGCTTTACTGCTTCTAATAACTTTATTGGTTCTTCTGTTTGTCATGTGATGGCCAAGATAATAAATATTCCTCCGAGAGCCCTAATTGACCCAGCGAATTGCTTCTGGAAAATAGATGTAGTATCTTCTCTCAGCTTGGGTAGACCTGTGTGTATAGAAGATAACTAAGCTAAAAATTAAGTGACTCCCAACACATACTGCAGCACAAGTTTTTGTTGGAAAGTTTTTATTCCACTTTGCTTGAGATGGAATAGTAGGTGTAACTTCTAAAGTCCATCCTCTTGCCAAATTTTCCACATTTACTTATGTAGTGTAGTAAGTTGTGTTTTAAAAGGCATTTTTGAGGCGAACCCTGGGGCGAGGCATGCCAAAATTGCCCCGAGGCAATGGTGGGGGCGAAAGTCTCAAGAGGTGTACGCCTAGCAATTCGAGGTGTACGCCCGGGCGTTAAGGCACGTTTTTCTAGTAAGGCGTAAGCCCAAGAGGCTTTTTCAAATTAAAACAAAATTTGCTGAATAAGTTCTTAATATTATACCCAAATTCTCAAAAGTAAGCTTGTAATTACTCAAAAGTCTTAAAAAGGAACTGAAACAATAAATTTAAAGGTCAAGACCTTTTTTTTTATTGCTAGAAGCCTTAATTTATGGTCCTTCCCAATTCTTTATCTTGTCCGCTAGTCTGCTACTATCTCCCAAAAGCAACGAACAATCAATTGTTTTTTGCAAATACAAGAAAAAATTTCATTCTCCCCCATAGAAGCAAGTTCAAAGTTCAAATTGCAGATTAGTCATCCTTTTTGTTCCTCCATGTTGAAAACTTTATTCTTTTCAACTTAAGTTACTTGTACTTGTAAGTAGCGTATAATGAATTGTTTTGACTAGTTTTTTGTAGGGATGGAAGACATCTATATATATTTTTCACTTATTTATAGTTTTCTTCAATTTTTATGCAATTTTACCTATTTAAAAATATTTGTTGTAAAATTATATTATTTTATGAAATATTAAAAATTAAATAACCATGGGGCTTACGCCCTGTGCCTCGGAGCTTATGCCTCGGCATGGAAAATGCCTCGCCTTACGCCCACGCTTTTTAAAACACTGATGCTACTAGAAACATTTCCTTTTTCACCAAAATAGTTTTTTTTTTTTAATTTTTATTCTGGCTATATGGAAATGTTTTCACTGTCTGCGCAATGTGTTTCTGCAAATAGATGAAAATGGACTCTTTTTTACTTCAAAGGTTGGATATAGAAAAATTACTTTATTAGTTCTTTGGTACTACTTAGTAGGAAACCTCAGTGTTTTAAAAGGGAAAAATGCAACAAATGACAAGGTTCATGGGGCTTGAAGCAAAAAGCATGAACTGAAGTGCGCAAGTTATGGAAAATAAGTAAGTACTAGCCATATATGAATGTAAGTAGTACATTGTCAAATTGCAATTAAACTAACTAATTTCAGCATCCAATATAAGGATGCCGGTATTACTCCAACTGAAGTTGGGATCCAAAAAAATTCAACCACTTCTCACTGGGATCACGTTGCGCGTTCTTTCAAGATACTCATGCTTTTTACTGCTAATTTACATTTTATTTTTGTCAAGCCAATGTTATATGTTAACACTGCAAATTGCAGATATTCTCAGTTTAAAGTAAAAGATGATTTTGGTTAGTGGAGAAGAATCGTTGTGAAATAATTAGTTCGTTGGTAAATGGAGAAGAAAAGTTGTGGAGAAATTTTGATTCGATAACATCGTCATATAAATGCTTATCCTCAATCTGGAGAATACATCTTCTAGTTTGCTGAAATTTCTTGTTTTCTTTGGTTGAGTTTTGCACTTCAAACATAGTTTTATTTGTGTCTGTATTTTCACTATTTAGGGGAGGTGGACTACTTCAGCATGTCTCGTGGAGTCTCTTCTCTCAATTTGATCAAGAGTGGGCATGAAGAAGCTTTTGTTTGCATAACGAACATAATGGTTCTACATGTTGCAGCAAGAAATTTTGGCTCAAAATACTTCAGAAAATCATTTATGTACTGGTATCATTGTCATTTTTTCCTTAATAACATAGTGGGTGGGGACAATTTGGAAATCAGTTATCGTAGGCTAACAAGGTTATTTTACGGGAATAGGGAAAACAAAGTGAGAATCTTTTAGGTTTCCACTAGGCTTTCACCAGATTAACTAAGCTTTACACCGTTATGTCATGTTCGGAATCAAAGTCTCTACAGAAATATGTACTGCCTTTCAGGAATGATATCTGAGGATTCTGAGGTTCATGATGCGTACGTCAAAGGTAGAGGTGAAATTGAAGATTCATTTATGGTAAGATGCAGACTGCAGATTCTTTGTTTCCGAGGTTCTTTCTTAATATTGTTCTTTCAATCCTCTCTAAGATATCTGCTAACTCACATGTTTTTTTTTTTTTTTTTTGGGTGTGTATCTATTTTCCTTGATGTTTCTTAATCCTATCTAGAATATTTTCCTCTCTTTGTTGACTGCCTTTATTAACCAATTATACTGGAAATATAAGGTATTCAGATTTTCTTGTCTATTGATTCGTTGAGGTAAATGTGGAAGGGTTGTATTTACCAATTGTATGAATCCATTTCTCAATCTGGAGTGCATGCTCTTGTTTTTGGCTGAAGTTTCCAACTTTCTTTTCACATGAATTTACTGCTCCTAAAGAAATCATGTCTGTATTACTTATAAATCTATATTTATATCTATATCTATCTATACTATATTAAAAGCACGAAGGCCCTATAGAAATATCGTTCGCCTTTTTTACCCTTCGTAAGTGCATTATATGTTGGATATAATTGTAATTATAATAACTATTTTTTTGGGAGAAAAAATAAAATTGTCGTGTACTTACTTAGAGTTTACATTGTTTGGGATTCTTTGGTTCTTGTTTCCTTTAGCTTTAGGATTCTTAAGATTCTTTTTTCTTTAGTTATGGTATTTTTCTTTCGTTGTCCCTTTTTGTACTGGTCTATTGTTCCTTTTGTGTCTACTTAGGATTCAATTTCTATGGTCTCTTTGGTGTAGGTTTAGTATTCAATATTTAAATTGGTTAGTTATTTTTATTTTTGTATTATATTCAATATTTTTCGCATTATATTTAGTCACGATATTAAATTATAGTAAAACTTTTTACTGAGAATAAAATTTCAAGCTATATTTTTCACTGGTCAAGTTAATATATGGAAGTAACATTTAGAATAAGGCAACATTTATTATATCATAAATGATCACATAAATAATCGTAATCTCTAATTTTCAATCAGTGCACAAAAAATTTAAGATTGTGTTCCGTAATAATACTATAGTCAAGAAATGCAACAATCAACTTTTCACTAATAGTTTTTTCAAACAGTTTCGTTTCGTTCGAAGAGGTAGTCTAACCAATGGAACAATATTTGGTAATTTCTTCAAATTTCATTGATTAATCTTACATTATGAATAATATTCTACTCTTATTGGCTATATAATTCCTAGTGGTAATTATTTATATAGTTAGCCAAATAGAAGCAACAATTATCAGTTTCATAATTTTATAATTTTTTTGTTAACTTTATTTTATAACTCAAATATAACTTTTAAAATAATATTATGTGATCTTTAAAAAAAATCCTTGAGTCGAGGTTCACGCGCAACGCGCGTATCCTGACACTGGTACTATATTAAAAGCACGAAGGCCTTAGCGAAATATTGTTCGCCTTTTTTACCCTTTAAAAGTAGAGTTCACATTGGATAAAATAGTAATTATAATGTAATTACTTTCCTAATATCTATGACTTTAAAATTAACTAAATTTTACTTATTAAATACTTCCTTATTCGAACTATGTAAAAGCTCTTAATATTTAGGAATCTAAAATTGAATAAGATTTTACTTAAAAAATTTCTTACTTAAATTGTATAACTATTTTCCTTAAATATGACTTTTCCACGTGTCTAAGTTGTTGATATTTCCATGTTTCCTTAAGTCTGACTTTTCCACGTTAGGAATGGTAGTGTAATGAAAATATTTTTCCAATTTTTTTCTTAGTTTTAATTTTATAGAGCTAAACACCTAAGAATTATTAAGCATGTTTTCAAATTCTAAATTTTGTATATTTTTTGGACCGTGTGAGTAGTGTTAATTCTAATTTTTCACATATGCATAAAGAGTGCTAGCGAAATATCGTTCGTCTTTTTTACCCTTTAAAAGTAGAATTTACACTGGATAAAATAGTCATTTAATTAATTTTCTAATATGTAGGAATATGCATTTAATTATTTTCCTAACAACTAGCACTTTGAGTTTTTAATGTTATCATTTAATTATTTTCCTAAAATTTAGTACTTTGAAATCAACTAAAATATTAGTACTTATTAAATATTTCCTTATTTTAACTAGAATTATTTTTCTTCAATTATATTTGAACTCCTTTCCTTGTGTGTATGGACGTACAATATTAATTTGAGATATGATTGTCACTATAAATTTGTGAATCAATTTTTATTTAAATTAAGGGTTTTACCACTTAAAAATATTTTTTCCCCTAAGACTCTTACTGTTGTGTATATTTGAAGAGTAGTTAGCGTAAAATATAAATATGATAAAGAAACTTAAAAATGCAAATCTTAGATGCTTTGAAGTGCATTATGCATTTATAATTACCTCCAAGATCATCAAACAAAGTTAATAACCATTCATATATTATAGAACAATACTATTAAATATTTAGCTTAGGGACTTGGTTTACCGCAGTTTAAAGCAATTTAGTTATAATTTTATTTCTTTGACAAATGTAAATTTTATTTTTCAAAGCAATTTTATTTTTATTTTGTAAATTTTTAAATATTTAGAACTTCAAAATCAGCTAAAAGTTTGGTTATTTACTTTTTACTTATTTGAATCTTGCAAGAACTCCTAATATTTAGGGATTTAAATGAAGTGAGATTTTATTATATTTTGCTTCCTTATTTAAATTGTGTAAAGCAACTATATAAAGTATTATTTTTCCAAAGAGAATCGCATAATGAATAAATTTCTAAAAGGAGGATTCCAAAATTTTTGCTCGTGTATTTTTCTACTCTATTAACTTTTACAAGAACTTATAAAGCTTCTTTATGCTTCTTTTGCAAGCATCTCCTTCAATTGTGGACATTACAGTTTGAAGTATGTTTGGCTAAGTACTTGGTAATCGGAAATATTCAAAGAAGCACGTCGACTTTAGAGGTTTTATCCCGATGAGTGAACCCGTTTTGATTTCAGTATTTATTNAAGGGAAATCAAACGAAAGACAGAGATAAGAGAGACTCCGGGCCATGCGGACGCCAACAAGGCTACCTCGGAAATCTCTGGACTGAAGTAAGCTCCCAACGCTCCTACTGCTGTCCAAAAGCTCCTGCTCTGGTACTATGACCTGTGCAAAAAGCACAGAAGTGTAGCATCAGCACAACTGACCCCATGTGCTGGTAAGTGCATGGCCTAACCCCGGCGAAGTAGTGACGAGGCTAGACAGGACCAACCAAAAACAACCTGTGCAGATATATATATATATACAAAGGCATCAGAAATAACAACAGAGAACATCAACTAAAAAGGGGAAGGGGGCATGCTCGGGGGAAATACACCGAATACAGGTCAACGGATATAACGACGAAACTATCTCAATACCATAGCTCGTATATAAGTGGTCGGCGCGCCACACGATCCCATTTCTTAATTCATAAGTGGACGGCGTGCCACAAGATCCCATTTCATAATATATAAGTGGTCGGCATGCCACACGATCCCAATTTCATAATATATATATATATAAGTGGTCGGCGTGCCACACGATCCCATTTCATAATATATATACATATAATCTTTACTAAAGGAGGCCCCATTAGGGGAAAATTCAACAACATAACGGTTTAAACCGGCAAGGGTACAACTACAGCCCAAATATCCCGGCAAGGGAGCTAACAACTAATATCGACTACGTGTCCCGGCAAGGGAAAAGTCACAACACTTTCTCTTTTAGTCTACTCT